ACAAAAATGTTTCAAACTTTTGGTGATCCTCCACATAAAATCGTACACAGACCTCATCTTAATCTTCCAGTTTTAACACAGGAATTAAAAAATCTTATACTAACGCTTACAAATTTTTTTGAAAAACTACAATGTATCCAAAGGTTTCGAACACAGAACATTCGCGTGTTAGGTGGATGTGATAACCACTACACCATGGGTACACAAGTGCGATGATATTCTCTACCTGGTTCAGTGAAATTGAATTCCTGCAAAGATTCTCTGAATTTGATTGATTTATTGAATATTAACGTCGCACTGTTCAGCTACACGGGAGCTTTTTGGCGACGGACCACGTAATTTTGAACCATGGTCAAGTGACGTGGACGACACCTGAGCTGGCACCCCCTCTCTAACTTACCATACCACACCAAAAGATTCTCTGAAAGTCAAAGAATACGATTTAAATACAAAAATGTTCAAACTTTTTGGTGATCCTCACAGACCTCAACTTAATCTTCAACACAGGAAGGGAAAATTCTTCAATCCAACGCACAAAATTTTCTGAACAATTAATGTACCACCAGGTTTCGAACCGCAGGACCTTCCGCGTATTAGTCGAGATGTGATAGCCGCTACACCATGGGTACACAAGGCTATGACATTTTCCCTACCTGGTTCAAGTGAAATTGATATTCTGCATAAGACTCTGAAAGTCTCACAGAATGCAAGTTAAATCAAAATAAGTTCCAAACTTTGGTGATACTTCACATAAAATCGTACAAAGACCTCATTTTACTCTTCCAGCTTTAACAACACCGGAAGCAAAACTTCTTCATTCCAACACCCATCAAATTATCTGAAAAACTAATGTACCGACCAGGTTTCGAACATGGGACTATCCACGTGTGTTAGGCGGTTGTGATAACCACTACACCATGGGCATAATTTCGAAACTACTTAATAGTTTTAAATATTAAAGGATTTATTCATGTGTTTCATCAAAGCTTATCAATGTCTTTTTTCTAAAATTAATTTAAAAAAGTGTGTATTGAGCATGGCGCTACTGATCATCGTAATCTTGCATTATTAGAAATTCCTCCCCCTTTCTATACAAGCTAAAAGTACTTGCCAGAAAAAGTAAATTGGGAACCCAATTTTTTATCTATAAAAGTCAGTATAACTACCAGGTTTCAAAGCTCACTTTCTACACTATTTTTAGCGCATGTCAAAACCTTTACTCATTTGAAATGTGTCAAACAAAAATGTGTTGGATCTTTTTCAATGGACTTAGGATACCGGTGGGAATTTATTCGGTTTTTACTATTATATTTCGAATGGATTATTATTGTGGTTGGCATTTACATTACGTGCAGATGGATAAAAAATTAAGATTTAGATCTCGCTGAAGGCGTTGAAGACAGCTTCATCTCAACCTATGAACAGCTTTTGAAATCAAATATCCTGGGTCTTCTCGGCTGATCTTTTAAAATCCTGGTTTGAATGTCTGAGTAATTGAGGATGAATGGATTAATGAAAACTAAATAATATATATGAACCACACACACATTACTGTATTTGGTACGCAAACCAGGCTTTCATTGCAAGTTATTTTCTAAACAATAATCTAATTAGTCGAAAATACACTAGTGTAATGCTTACACTCTCTCCGACATGAACTCTTTGCGTTTGAAATGCTCTTCATACATCCAACACTATTTTTCATCACGTGTAACCTTCTCAAGTACTCTTCTAATCCCATTGAAATTTTTTTTCGCTTTTCTATATTCTGCAATACTTTGAAGTACCAAACAGAAAATATATTAGTTTCTTGCATGACACATTGAAATGAAATTTGTTTTATTCAACGTTTGGAAATATACAAAAAAATTATATTCTAAAATATTTCAGTTACTTAAACACACATGTGCCCAACGTAAGCACAAACCTGCAATCTTAGCGTGTTTGGCAAAGATGTGATAACCACTAAATGGGTACACAAGCGATGACACTTTCCCTACCTGGTTCAGGTGAAATTGAATTACTGCAAAAGATTCTCTGAAGTCTCACAGAATGCGAGTAAAATAAAATTTTCCAAACTTTTGGTTATCCTCACATAAAATCATACACAGCCCTCATCTTAATCTTCAGCTTTAACACAGGAAGGGAAAATTCTTCAATCCAACGCTTACAAAATTTTCTGAAAAACTAATGTACCCACCAGGTTTCGAACCTGGACTCTTCCGCGTGTCAGGCGGATGTGATAACCAAGACACCATGGGTACGCAAGAGCAATGACATTTTCCCTACCTGGTTCAAGTGAAATTAAATTCCTGCAAAGATTCTCTGAAAGTCTCACAGAATGCGAGTTAAATAAAAAATATTCAAATTTTTGGTGATCCTCACAAAATCGTACACAGACCTTATCTTAATCTTCAGCTTTAACACACAGGAAGGGGAAAAATTTTTAATCCAACGCTTACAGAATTTTTTGAAAACTAATGTACCCTACAGGTTTCGAACCTGGAACATTCAGCGTGTTAACGATGCGAATGTGATGATATCCACTACACCATGGGTACACAAGGCGATGACATTTTCCCTTCCTGGTTCAAAAGTGAAATTGAAAAATCAACGAAAGATTTTCTGAAACTTCTCACAGAATGCGAGTTAAGTAAAAAAATGTTCCAAACTTTTGGTGTACCTCCACATAAAATCGTACACACAGACCTCATCTTAATCTTCCAGCTTTAACACAGGTAGGGAAAAATTCTTCAAATCCAACGCTTACAAAATTCTCTAAAAAACTAATGCATCCACCAGGTTTCGAACCTGGACCTTCCCGCGTGTTAGGCGGATGTGATAGCCAATACACCATGGGTACACAAGTGCGATGACATTTTCTCTACCTGGTTCAAGTGAAATTGAATTCCTGCAATGATTCTCTACAAGAAAGTCTGGAATGCAGTTAAAATACAAAAATGTTCCAAACTTTTGGTGATCCTCCACATAAAATCGTACACAGACCTTATCTTAATCTTCCAGTTTTAACACAGGAAGGAAAACATTTAAATCCAACGCTTACAAATTTTTTGAAAAACTAATGTACTCTACAGGTTTTGAGCCTGGGAACATTCGCGTGTTGGGTGGATTTTTATAACCACCTACACCATGGGTACACAAGAGCGATGACATTTTCCTACCTGGTTCAAGTGAAATTGATATTCTGCATAAGACTCTGAAAGTCTCACAGAATGCAAGTTAAATCAAAATAAGTTCCAAACTTTTGAGTGATACTTCACATAAATCGTACAAAGACCTACTACATTTTTACTCTTCCAGCTTTAGCACCGGGAAGCAAAATTCTTCATTCAACACCCATCAAATTATCTGAAAAACTAATGTACCGACCAGGTTTCGAACATGGGGACTATCCGCGTGTTAGGCGGTTGTGATAACCACTACACCATGGGCATAATTTCGAAACTACTTAATAGTTTTAAATATTAAAGGATGATTCATGTGTTTTCATCAAAAAGCTTATCAATGTCTTTTTTTTCTAAAAATTAATTTAAAAAAGTGTGTATTGAGCATGGTTACTGATCATCGTAATCTTGCATTAGTAAATTCCTCACCTTTTCTATACAAGCTAAAAGTACTTGCCAGAAAAAAGTAGAATTGGGAACCCACCTTTTTATCTATAAAAGTCAGTATAACTACCAGGTTTCAAAGCTCACTTTCTACACACTATTTTTAGCGCATGTCAAAACCTTTACTCATTTGAAATGTGTCAAACAAAAAAAATGTGTTGGATCTTTTTCAATGGACTTAGGATACCGGTGGGGTTTATTCGGTTTTACTATTATATTTCGAATGGATTATTATTGTTTGGCATTTTACATTACGTAAGATGGATAAATTAAGATTTTAGATCGCTGAAGGCGTTGAAGACAGCTTCATCTCTGCAACCTATGAACGACTTTTTGAAATCAAATATCCTGGTCTTCTCGGCACAGTCTTTAAAATCTGTTTGAATGTCTGAGTAATTGAGGATGAATGGATTAATGAAAACTAAATAATATATATGAACCACACACACATTACTGTATTTGGTACGCAAACCGGAAGCTTTCATTGCAAAGTTATTTTCTAAACAATAAATCTAATTAAGTCGAAAATACACCTAGTGTAAGTAACACACTCTCTCCGACATGAACTCTTTTGCGTTTGAGAATGCTCTTCATACATCCAACACTATTTTTCATCTAAGTAACAACCTTCTCAGAAGTACTCTTACAAATCCCCATTGAAATTTTTTTCGCTTTTCTATATTCTGCAATACTTTGAAGTACCAAACGAAATATATTGGATTTCTTGCATGACATTCAGAATGAAATTATTTTTTTTACAATTCAACGTTTGGAAATATACAAAAAGAATTATATTCCTAGGTATTCTAACAGTTTTAAACACACACACACACACACTGACTGCAACGTAAAAAGCTAAACCTGCAATCTTAGCGTGTTTTGGCAAATGTGATAACACTACACCATGGTACACACAGCGCGATGACACTACCTGGTTCAAGTGAAATTGAATTACTGCAAAAGATTCTCTGAAAAT